CATGCTTTATACATCTTAGTCATTACTCCATTTTTTGAGACACATTTTAAGCTACAAAAAACATTCCACTGCATTAACTCTATGACCACTGCATATCAGTCTTTGTTTGCTGGACTCCTCATTGCATGCTCCTTCCCCCAAAACAGGGGATGAAATACATTAAGGGACATTTTTGGTGGACTTAAATATTTAATTTTTTTCTTTGTTTTCTTCTTTCATTGACCAAACTACAAAATTAATTTTACATAACCCTCTCGACTTTTTTATATACATATTTTTTTTTTAAATTACAGCCACTGTAGTTACGTCTTGTTACTTCTACAATCAGTGTTTTTAAATACATCTTTTTGTTTATGAAACATGGCTGAAAAAGCTTAGAAAACCCCTGTGCTGCATATTTATTTATAAACAGATTTAGACATCATGATGCAGCTTACTGGATTCTCAGTCTATATACAACAAAGGTTAACAAATGACCAATATGATTTCACTTATCTTTTTCCAATAAAATTTCTTGAATCAAATGGGCTGTTATGAATAGGCAAAGCAGGCAAGTAGAGCAAAAGGCAGATTATCATTGGAACAAATGTAGATGGAAGCTTTTTCAAAAACAGCAAATGGAAAGACAACAGCTTGAAAAACATTCACATTTCAAAATAAACTTTTATATGCAAAAATCTATATGCATATATCTATATAAACATATATAAGCATGTCAATTAGCAAATTACACTTGGGGGGAATCTTACTTCCAAAGACATGATGGCATTTTAGACTTTTCATTAATACAGTACTAGCATTCCCAATACAAGAGTCAATTTTAGTTCAAAAAACAAGGTCACATTAGTAACATTTAAATATATATCTGAAATTCTAAATAAACCCTTTTACAAAGAAAGCATCTCCAAACCCTCTCAATTAGTAAGAAGCAGAGAAACCGGTTACTTTAAAATTCTTAAATACACTGGATTTTTTTTGTGTGAGAAAAAGAAATGCCTTCTCTGAAACTGTACATACGTGGGAGAACAAAAAAGAAGTTTTTAGCAAATCAGTTTACTGAGAAGTGGGACTAGGGTGTGGTTTTTGTTGAAAAGTTCACTTGCTTTTTAGCAAGTTCTGCTTAGAACATCAGAAAGTTCAGATGTGAGTAAGGACACTCATCTGCTCTTCTGAAAAAGTCAGCTGTTGCTGAAGAGTTACTCGTTATTTCAGGCATTCTCTTAAAGAAAAATATCAAAAGAACCTTAGCTTAGAAATATCTATGTCCTTGACAAATCCCCTTGAGAAGGAGAACAGAACTGCAAGTCTGGGGAGTTTAGCATTGTCAATGTCTCTTTGCATTCACTCTTCAAGATGTAACTGGAAAAAAGTTGTGCCTGTCAGGTATATCTGTTAGCAGTAGCAAAGAGAATGCCAAACAAGATCTCTCCTGGGATGTGACCACACTCAATTCACATAGCTGCTACTGAAATGGATCACCTAAACTGCAGGTATGTCTCTTTCAATTGCCTGTTCTCTTGCAAGTGTTTTGAGGTGTAATCCATGATTTATTTGGAAAAAATCAAAAACCAGGCAATGAATTACTCATTAGGTACTGGAAATCTTTCTGTGGGAAAGGAAAAGGTGGAAAGCCATGTCATTCATTCTTGTAATCAGTCTGTCACAATCAGTATCTGAAATTTTCTATCAGTATCCAGAGATGAAGTTTTGCTTGATAAGTGCAATCAAAAGTGATTTACTGGCTTTTGTGGAAGCAATATAATTCCAGAACCAGGAAACTGAGGTTCTACTTCCCAACAATATTTGTATTTGCAATGTGCATGGAACATCTGACTGCAACATATACAGACAAACACACAAATTTCAAACTGGCTTGTGAAGAGTCCTGCAACAATACCCCAAGCTGCATAAATTTCCGGTCCTATTCAGGTTAAGTTCCAAGAACTACATGGTCTACACCAAATCCCATTCCTACCTTTTCCCCACAGCTGTTTACAGCTATCGCAGTGAACACATCAGTCTAAGGTGACTGTTGAAAATGAATTTTGACTGTTTTTCTTCCATTAAGAAAAGAGATCGTCTGGACTTGTTGGAGGTGTCCGTACAGGTGCTGGGAACACAGACTCCCCTGCCTTCTAGCAAGCATGCATCAGATCACGCTGCATTGGCAAGTACTTACATTGAAGTGATACTTAGGCTGAATAAAAATGAGTTTGACACTCCTGGAAGTAAAATTATCACTTCTGTCCTGGTTTCAGCTGGGCTGGAGTTAATTTTCTTCACAGAAGCTAGTGTGAGGCTATGTTTTGGATTTGGGATGAGAAAATGTTGATAATGTGCTGATGTTTTGAGTTGTTGCCAAGTAGTCAAGGACAGTCCAGCTTCTCGTGCTGGCCTGCTAGCAAGAAGGCTGGGGAACATGGGAAGCTGGGCGGGGACACAGCCAGGACAGCTGGCCCAGGCTGGCCAAAGAGACATTCCATACCATAGGACATCATGCTTGGTATATAAAGCTGGGGCGAAGAAGGAGGAAGAGGTGGAAGGACGTTTGGAGTGATGGCATCTGTCTTCCCAAGAAACCATCACGCGTGATGGAGCCCTGCTTCCCTGGAGATGGCTGAACACCTGCATGCCCATGGGGAGTGGTAAATGAACTCCTTGTTTTGCTTGGCTTGTGTGCGTGGCTTTTGCTTTACCTATTAAACTGTCCTTATCTCAAACCATGAGTTTTCTCACTTCTCACTTCTACTCTTCTGATTCTCTCCCCTGTCCCACCATGGGGGAGTCAGCAAGTGTGGGGCTTAGCTGCCGGCTGGGGCTAACACACGACATTTCTTAAGCTAGGACAAGCACCATACTAGCAGAAAGAGAGAGTAGTTCCGTGAAAAAGCTGGAACAAGGCGTAAAGAAAAAAAGAAAGAATAGAAACTAAGTAGGAAAATAGCCTATTCTCATCTGTGCATGAAGTTAAGCAAATCGGAACTTAAATGCAAAATATACAATGTAAGTGGGGAAGTGACTCTCTGATTGAGAACATAGCTCTGCTGCCAAAACCTGCAAATGGAGAGAAAACTTCAGGACAATGCTATCATGCATGGACAAATCAATACTTGAAGGATTTTCCTATATAATAAATTCAAATCCCTCATTTAGAGTTTTGAAATTGTAGTTATTTTATTGAAATCAGAAAGCGTTTATGTGAAACACATTACTTCTTAGCTATTTTAAACAGCATTTTCCAATTATTAGTAGGGAAAAAAGCAAAAGTGTGGCTTTGATCAGTAATGAAATATAAAACCAAAATCTAAAAACCTGTATTTAAGTTTCATTACTGAGGTCTTTTGGCCCAAGATTCCTCTTTAACCTTGCCCACTCAAAAATTCTAAGTCTTATAAGACTGGCTTCTAGAGGCTCTACCCAAGAAGATATTTTTATTATAACTATTCATGAACAGACTGACTAGTAATAGTTCTGTTTGCTGCAGAATATAATGCAAACTAACTGATGAGCAGTTTCTTCTGTATGATAAATCCTCTTTTTCCTCTTTGTGATAAATTCTAGTAGTCCAGCGTATGGCTATGAGAAATCAACTTTTAATTTCCTTTGGAAACAATAGTCCAAACAGACAAATAGCAAGGGAACTTATTAGCAATTTTATTGTGTTCCTAAAACCTAATAGTAGAGTCCTCATCAATATCCAGATTACTCTTAGATTTGGCCTAAGAGTGCAATATCATGATGACCTACTTTAAAACAGCTTCTGAAAGCCCTCAAACTGGTATTACCCTAGTATTACCTATTGTGGTTGACTATCCAAACAATGAAAATGAGTGCAAATGGACAAGAGAATTACAAGGTAGAAGGCCGGAAAGCAGTCTGTCTCTGACACATGACTATTTCCTAGTAGTTTTCTAGAAAGAAGCAGAGGGTTTGAATTTCTAACACAACTATGAAAAATTGTCTTTGAAAGAAGTGCAGGAAAAAACTGAATTGCTACAATCTGAACTCAAAACTGATTGGCTACAAAGACACTTGCTTCTACTCTCCAAATAAGAGATTCTGGTGAACAAACCCAATAGATGGGTCATTTCATGATCAAGTAGGCATAGACAGTACGCAGTTCTCTGGAAGACAGCTAGCAGAATAATTAGCTCCCTCAATTATTTAACTGAGATGTTTGTTTTAACTCTTCATTGACTATGCCCAGTGAATAACATGCCTACGTGTATTTGTTTGAATTTTATGCCACTGTCTGTAAATTTAGCTTTATTTTAAAAATCATATCCCTATAATAAAATAAAATCTTTTATAACTCCTATACTAAACTTGGGCCTGAAAGACAGAATAATATCCTAGCATTCTAAGCATTTAAGGAGTTTACATGAAATACTCAATTAAACCAAAGATGATGAAAAGCAACCATTATATAGCCTAGTTTTCTCCCACTGATATATTTATTTTCTTGCGTATGGATGTCCCAGATAGAAACCTTAAATCACATAGATTGTGATTACTATCATCACTAACTATGCCTCTCAGCTTCATGCCAGTCAAATTAATAAAAATCAAACAACAAAACCCAGCATAATAGGTGCAAAATAAATCTTAAAGTAAGCTCAGTTGCCCGTGAATTGTTTCTGAAATCAAAATACACATTAAATATGTAAACATCACAACAGATATCCAAATACTCCTGAAAGGTAAGCATTCTAATTCATAGACCACTACTAGAGTTAAATTTGCAAGTTCATTTTCCATTCTGTAACTGGCTAACTGAGCTCTGAATTATGCATCATATTTCTCTACCAGTTCTTTAATGACAGATGAAAGACATATGTAAGACAACTGAAAAAGATTAACAGTGTTTAAAATTCAAATTTCTCCTCATTTAGAAAAGCTTCGATCTCTTCAGTCAACTTCATAACATACTGTGAGATTCACGCTCTACAGGCAAGTTTTCTGCTAACTTTATGGTAAAGAGAAATCTACTTCCTGCTTACCTCGTTACTGAAAGAATTCTCTTCAATTTTCTCAGTTTCTGCCTCTGTCAGAGGGTTTTTCAGGGTCTGCAAGAACAGTGCAGCTTTCCTTTTGCGCTCTGCTTGCAGCTGCTTTTCTTTTGATTCTTTGGAGGCCTGTGCAAGCTTCTCTCTTGCTGCAGCTGCTAATCTATCCTCTAGTTTCTGCTTTGCTAAGACAGACAATTAAGCATAGAGTTTAGAGTGAGTCACACTTGGGGAACTTAAGTTTCCTTGAAACAAACACACACACCCCCAACACAACCAACCATACAGCCCCTCTAACCATTCGCAATCCTTTCTAATACATCCGTTCAAAGATATAAGAATGTATCAGCATGAAATTACGAAATTCCAAGCATCTTAAATCATAGATATGTAATTTGCTTGATGAAAAACAGTACAGGTGAGCTAAAAATTTTTAAGCCTGAAGAAAATGACATGAAATTAAATCCTGAAAATTCAGGGTACTTGTCCTTTTCTATTTACAAAAGCTACCTAAAATGTAGCACTGTAAATACAGGAGCTTTTTCTTGTACTTGTTAAAGTGATGCAAACTCTCCACCTTGCTCTTCCTACAGATCTGATCTTCACCCTTCATTTTCCAGCCCTATTAACATACATCTTAAAATGCTTACACAAGGGCTGCTCCAGAAATTTTCAGAAACTGTTCCACCATTGTTACAACCAACAATTATTGTTATGTGATTCCAGAAAGAGAATAAGCCAATTTATTTAACTGTGTTCCTAATGGGTATTTTGTCTAACCTTTTTCATCTTACACTTCCACTTTTGTGTTCTGTGCATGTACAAGGTGAGTTTTTTGTTCGATTGCATAGTTTTTCCACTACACAACTTTTTCCAAACATGTTTTACACTTCATTTCTATTATCATACAAATATTTCATATTTGCTTTAGATACGTATCAGCATAGCATACTTTGTGCTACTAAAGTTTACAAAGGAACTGCTACTTAGGAGCCAAAAAACCATTTTGAAAACGGAAAATTAAATTCCTGTGGCATACTTATAGTTGTAAGAGAAATATTAAGTTTTTAAGCTAGTAAACACTGACAGCATCTCCACTTTATTAAACACTCTCTGTTGTGAAAAAGCCTTGGGGAGGAATGGAGACAATCTGATCCCTTTAGAAGATCATTTCATTCAAATTCAGACAGCAAACCCTTCTGCCCTTACATACCATAAACACAGTAACAGGAAAAACCCATACAAAGACTTAATAATGGCAAGGCATTATATGAGTGACAAAACATCAACAAGGTGATATTAGTCTGTATGGGAGTGCTATATAACTGAAAAAGAGCTTGAAGCATTTCATCGTTCTCTGAAGAAAATGAGAAATGGACATGCCTTTTTCTGGGCTCTGTTAACGCAATCTGGAAACTACAAGTTTAGTGTTTTACTCAGAGGTTGTAATGGAAAAACAAAATAAAATTCAGAAAGATCATGCATTAGGGCAAAGTACTCAACTCCAGTGTGTTACAAGTTTGATTTTAGCTGAGCAGCCAATAAAGATTTCAGTAACAATAAGCAGAAAACTGTGGGAAAAGAAAAAAATTCTGATTCCTGTTAACATGATATAGTGAAGATTCGAAATACCTAAAATGCCATACTTATTCACATGACAGTTTTGTAGTTTGCCTGAAGGACTCAATCTTTCATTTTGTTTTCAGTGTAATATGGGATACCTTGTTTAGCTTCCAATTCCTCCTGTGTAAGTTGAGGTTTTTTCTCTTCAGCAACAGTACAAGGAGTGGTAACAGCTGGAGTATGGTTTGAAGTGCTATTAGCATTCTCTTGGCCTTCCTTGCCCTCTTCTTCCTCCTCATCACTGTCATCATCTAATTTAACACGGTTTTTCTCCAAAGGAAGAAGGTCATTTTCTTTGGCCTTGATTGCAAAGCTTATTGGAGCAAATGATGCTGTGAATGAATGGGTAAGATTTTACACTTCATTAGACCACAGTAGAAAGCAGGTTGAATTTCTTGACTTTATCCATTATTCATGCAGACTACACCACAAAAACAAGAAACTTGTATCATCCTCGGTTTATGCTTATTATTTTGGGGAAAAGGACAACACAATCTTTTTTTTTCTTTTTTTTTTTAACCAAATGTTGGAAACTTCATTTGCCCTGTAAAGATCTCTCTCAAAGGCTTTTTCTAATATTCAGTAGCAGCAGGGAAAAAGGAATGGTACCCTATGGCATGGTACCCTAAACCATCTCAGGAATTACGCTTCCTGATACGAGATAAATAATTTCCTATCCTGTCCCAAATAAATTTTAGTTTCACTACTACTTCTTTTCCCAAATGAACAATCTAATCTTACAGACTTAAGATGAAAACGCTCTGTGCTCAGGTTCCTATCTGACACACTACAGTATGATATGGTCCCTTATGTTTCCTTCACACTAAATTGATGGTATGCACAACAGCAGCATTTGGCATACTCACAAAACAGTATCTAAAGACTTATTTCCATTCATATGAAAATTAATTACTTCGGAGAGTTAACAGCACTGCATTACAGGAGATGTAAACGCAAAAGCTAAGTACTTTTCACCAACTGTCTTAGCTAGTCTTCCTGTAGCCAGATTGGTGGTCAGCTAGTCCTTTCAAGCAGACCCTACTACTCCAACACAAAAAGACAGCACAACACGCGCATGCCAGCACGCTGAAAGTAAAAAGAATGCCTGTAAAAACCATGGAATACCACAATAAAAAGGAAATTGTGGATCATTTCAAGCTAGGTAATTGATCTTCAAAAAATACTAAATATAGTTCTATATTAGCTATGCTTAAGTCTGAACTAATCCTTTTGACTCTCAGAACTTTCCTTGGTATGTTTTTTGAGAACCATTTTCTGAAAAAAATAGAGAATTAATCTCTAAACCATTTATCCAAAATGCAACTTCTAAGAATAAAGAATGGAATAAGAAATAAGGAATTTCTCACACATCTCAAACAAAGCAACCTACTACCATATGGTCTGCTGCAATATTTATCTTTCTCACAATGCCTTTTGCATATATATCCTAGAAAATTTTAATCAGGGAAATTTAAACACAATAATTAAATTACATAGCAAGGTTTATAAAATATAAGCTTTGCATCTTGTAATTGAGGAGTAAGGAAATAGGCTCAGAAATAAAGAACTCAAGAATTCCAAAGAATACATATTATAATAGTGATTTTCCAGCTTTTTCATATGACAAAACAAATCCTAAAATGGGATTTTACTCCCTCAGAGGCAGAAGAAAAATCTAGTGCGGAGGTTAGGTTTGTCTTGCAGCCAAGTACTGTATTTAGGTTACAAGAAAGTGGGATTTGCACCATATTAGAAGAAATGAAAGTTAAGTTTATAGGAATAGGTTTGTCATGAAATGACTCGCTGGTTACATTCCACCTACATTTGAGCAGATTGTTATTAAAGCACAGGTTCCAGTTTGCCATTTATTAATAACACAGTAAGAATAACTAACAATAATTTTCTGTTGTATGTTACATACTCTTAATAGGCCATCTTTGAAGACAGGGAATATTGCTCCTTCCCTGGGGAAGCTACTCAACCTGCCCAGAGAAGAAACTGCAGAGTATGGCCAGCCAGAAAACCATGGCAAGGAGCTTGGAGCTTGCAGCCCGTGGAAGGAAAGAAGTTGCAGTGAGGAGCAGGAAGAGAGAAGAACTCCAAGGGACCACAGGGAGTAGATAAACTTATCAGCAATTAAGAAAGCCACTGAAATAGCAGGAAGACAATACCCATCCATGGGAACACAGGTCAAAAGTGTTTTTCCTGTTTTGTTTTTTTGGGGTTTTTTTCAGTGGCTTTCAGTTCTATTTAAAAGATTTAAGTTTCTAGTTTTTACTGAAAAGAAGGAATTTTAAGAGATCTTTGCCCGATAGGCTAGGAAATCAGTTCCCAGGTACAAATAATTGCTTCTCCAACTCAGGACACTAATAGTGTGTTGGCTGACTTTGACTGGCTTCCAAGAGATCCTCCCATTTTGTCCCTCTGCTGCTATGACTGCAAGAGGAAAAACATTCCACTTAGACATGAAAAGGGTCTTTTTTTCCAGCATGACTAACATCCAACACAGGAAGACTGAGCAACTGAGTAATAAGCCTAGCGTACTTCCTCCATATGTATGGTTTCAAATAAGACTACTGCTTTTATTCAGAAGGAATAATTTATTTTTTGCACAGAGCTTTTTTGCATGAAGCCTTCAACCTTGCACAAAGCTAAAATAAAAAAAATTATTCTGTCAGACCATAAATACCTAATAGTCTGATAAGAAAGAAATATGAAAGCAATCAAATTACTTATTTCTGTCCTTTTTGATGCTTCTATGAAACTATTTTCCACGTGATGAAATTCTTTTCCCTACTTTCCCCTTGCCTCTCCCCCCACCTTTTTTTTTCCTGAAGTATATGCTAACAAATATTTTCATGCCCAACAAATCATGCTAACATACCTTTCACCAATTTACCATCACTGACAGTTTTAGAAGGAGGAACATCCTTTTTAGTTCCTGGAACTCCCTTAGCACTTGGCTCAGATGCATCTTCAGGTGCATGTTCATCTGCAAATTGAGTCTCACTTGGTGTATCACTGACAGTATCTGCTGGAACATCTTCAGATGAAGATACTCCCTTTTCAAAAGAAATGTGCAAGCTTACTACCTGGATAGTTCATGAAAGAATTCACGCAGTGTCTGTGGAGCTGCAATTTTGCCAGCCATTTCAAAAATCACATTATCAGCTAATCACAAACAACTAATTTTACATCAATAAGCACTCATGACCAAAAGTCTGCTGCTTCTAAATAACGCACTGCTTCATATAAACCCACAGGCTGCAAAAACTACAGACTTACAATGTGTTGTTATTTACCGTAAAGAAAATGTTCTTCAGCTAGTACACTTTTGCCAACAATTGTTTTAAAAATTATGTTTGTAAAATCAGACCCTAAAAGCATACACTTTTTTTGCAAAGTATATTCTTTTAGGTCTTGATCTCCAGGGTCGAGGACAAAATCCAGTAAATTTAATTCACAGTGACAGAATGAAAGCTTATGACAGTTTTTCCTAGTGTACAATTGCATGATACCTTCTTTACAAAATAAAGTTTTACAGGGATCAACACAGGTTAACATGCTTGATTTGTTACAAGATTTTGCTGAAGAACATTGGGCCTACCGATGTTTTTTGTGGCATTAAATTGATACAGTGCTGAGATTTTCAAAAGAGTAAAGAATTACTGGTTCTGCTATGACATGACTGAATCATTCAAGACAACCTCTAAACTCACAGTATAAAAATCTCAAGATGGGTATTGTAGAACATTAAAAATATTTATATGGTGAGACAGGAGATGACATTAAGTAATGTAACATTTAAATGAGCCTCTCTCAATAAATAGTTTGGTTGCTTTCCATTGGCTGCTGTTAAGTATACTTAATGTTGAAATACCAGATATTGTGGAGACCCTTTCCTTGCTCCCTGCAGCCATTCCCTGACCAACAGAACTAATTTCTGAAAATCCTTGAAGGGGAAAAACATAAGGAAATCAAGGATTTCACCCAGTATTTACTGGAGCCAGTACTACAATTTCTTATTAACTTTAACGGCCAAAAGGAGAGCAATCAATTGCATTAGTTGCCTATATATATATTACTAAAGCATAAAGATAATATTGAAATCATTATTCTAAAAAATTAAAGAGAATGGCAATATCTACAAAACCATGCAGTAGGAAAATATGCATTGCTACACATGACCTCAAGGGACTTAAACCAGTTTCTGCTTGCTTCATAGCTGTACTCATTTGAAAAGGAATCCTTTATTATTACACTTTGGTTAGTATACAATTTCCCCCAAAATAAATGTTAACAAGTCCTTATTAATTATGTAAGTATTATGAATTCAACCCACTGGTTTGCAACTAAGAAATTCTAGAACAGTCAGCATTGTGGTACACAACAATTTTGCATGTAATTTATCAACTGAATAAGATCATATTTACCACACATTATCTTTAAAAACAGTGTTTTCAAAACATTTTTCACTATTAAAACAAAATATTAGACACAAGCGTTTCAAACAGCAACTAGTATTGAATTTCTTCATTTTCCACAAAGCAATTTTGAGGAGTTTACCCAACAGGCCTACCTTCTTCAGTTTAAGGCTCCCCAATCTAAGCCTTGAGATGACAAATGACATAGGGCCTAAAAAAAAAATAGCTCTTTCCCATGAAAAGTTAACATCAGATAATGTATTTCTGATACTATTTGCAATTTTCTTTTCAGTAAGAGAACAATCTAATGAGATTAACTAACATGAGAATAGTTAAAAACAAGGATGCCAAGTCTGGGTATCATCTTCTAATAACACGGACTAGAAGAAGCAAAGCAAGTAGGAAACTGATGTGAGATTTTGAAGCTCCAATATCGTTTTAGTCAATCATGACAGGACTCTTTTACAAAACCTCCCTCAGAAAAAAGCATGTCAGAAAAGTAGTCTAGCTACTGCGCTGTTCTACAAAGAAACATGAGGTATACGAGAAGGTACGGTTATTAAAAAGCTATACCTAACCTTCCTGACAACAGAACACTAATCCCAAACCTACAAAGCTGTAAACCTCCACAAAGCGTATATTCCCTTGTACAGAAAACCAAAAGATTTTCGGGTTGCCATTTTATATTACAACCACACTGAGTGGCTACTTATAATAAAAAGCAAGAACTAAATATCATAGCATCTCACGTATCCTTATTTAAATGCTATACAAAATTAAAAAGCAACCAGCAACGAAAAAGCATTCACATCCTTTGCTGAACAACTTCTCTGTAATTCAGTGTTCCGTTTATAAAATGTCTCATGGTAACCCAACAGAGTCCTTTCCTCACTTACATTGCATTTTTAATATATGTATATACAAACACATATGTACCTGACAGTTGTCACTGCTCTCTTTTTGAAGGAAGAACTGTTTTTTAAATTCATAATAAGCATTATACTGGTGCCATGGTTGCAGAAACTCAAATCTGTTAAAAGAGAACTGAATATGTGAAAATGCACATGAACATAGTAAATGCCAACAATCCTTTGCCATCTAATTTCCTCTAGAAAATGGAACACTATTTATGTTTGGAAGCACTGTAACTTATGGCTAAACTTCCAGAGGATACACGTTCAGACCAAGCTTTCTAGAGATGTTTGTTAGGTTGGTTGTTTTGAGGATTTGGGCAACAATGCATTGGAATTACCTTTAAGTAGATCTCTGAATTTCAATTTAAAAAATAAAAATAGGTTTAAAAAAATATGGTACTTCTCTTCTTGAGACCCATATGTCCTGGTAATATATTTTAAAATATATTTTTAAAACTTTTAAAATAGAAGTTAAAATAATGTTTTCTCTTACCTGAGATCATTCTTGGCACGAACACTGGTTTCAAATTTTATGCCATTCCTCGCAACATACTCAGCTAGCTTATCAATAACAGGTTGAATATCTGGGGGTGGAGGTATAATGGCAACCACTGGAGCAATTGTGCTGAAAACATCAAGAGTACATGTTTTTATAAACAGAACATAAATATCTTTCAGACTCTTGTTTTAACAAGAAAAACATTGCATAGGGGTTTGCTCTCTGGGTTTATTATGCAGTTAAAATAACTTGATTTTCCATCACGCAAAAAATTCATAGTAGCTGAGTAACAATAACCACATACAACATCAAAGACGAAAGTGGAGGTAATCAAAGCTGTATAAACACTGGCAAATATTACTGAGAAGTCAGCAATAACAGAACCCTTACTAAATACTTCATACTGAAGTGCAAGAAAGAGACCCCTCCAACCAGCAACCAAATCTGCATGTCGTACCTTGTAGATGTTGTGGTAGAAGTCAACGCGCTGCTGCTATCAGTTGTGTCTGGGGGAGGTGGAGGTGTAGTACCAGGGGGTGGAGGTACTGTTGCTACCCCTGTAGTGCTTGATACAGTCACCCCTGCAGGCAACGCATTGTAGTAGGTGGCAACATCTATTCCTGGAGGTGGAGGCGCGAGGCAGTAAGTTCCATCAGGTAGCATATAGTAACTATAATACATGGCTGCCACAGTTGCTATAAAAAGACACATTTAAGAACAATGTTCTAATTAGAATAAAAATACCCAATAAAAAACACATTATTGCATCAGTACAAACACTGAGAATTCAGAGTCACACAAATGAGAAATGGTATCTAATGTCTTGGGTAAAAACAAAACAAAACAAAATACACCAAAGAAAAAAAACTAATGCTCATATTAACACACTCACAATGAATAAGAAATGTGTAGATTAAAGGACAGAATCAGAACATACTAAAGGTCAGCTGGAAACTAAATGGTATGAATAGGTATGAATAAAGAAATGAACCAGAGAAGGCCTATTAAAAAATGACCTAATATAAAATCCTTCTTCCTAATCTAATTCACCTCTGGCAGTTTAACTCAGTTAAAACCATGTATGCATTAAGAAAGAAACGTGCATATATATTCAAAACTAACATTGAGAAATTAAACCACCAATATCACTAGATATATTAAACCACTATATCATTATATACAGACACGCATCTACTTTCTGAAACCTCAAAAAGTAGACAGGTTTTGCAATTTAACACCAACACAATGAACAGTCAATTTGAGCAAGTTTTCTGCACTAGAGGCTTCTCCGATTCTAAATATTTATTTCTTGATAGTGCAAAGGCTTATGGCCTTCTTTCTTTAAGGAAAATATTTTATAATGCTTTTATTAGCCTAACACTTTTAAATGGCAGTTACTTCTTATAAATCTAAAGATTTTCTGCAGAACGACATATAAACAGAAAGTACTCAGGTAAAATATTTCAAAGGATTTACAGTAAGAGTTTACATTTCTGGATGCAAAGTTTAATCAACGCATTAAACCATAATGAATTATCCTCTTAAAAGTTTCATAAACATTCATAAACATAAACATTGCCATATGTGTGGTAATATTTACTTTCTTCAAAGAATGTTATCTACAAGGAGAGCAGAATGAAGTTTTAAAGGCAGGGAGAGTTGCAAATTGTAACTTGTATTGGTACTAAATTGTAATGTCCCTGTTCCTATCAGCTACGTTCAGATTCAAGCCTGACATGAAGTAATCAGAAAACTGACGAGCATTATTCTACAGAGATACTTATTCTGATTTTAGTCTTTCTTGAAGTAACCAGTAATTTTCAATTTCTCCACAGAAATCTTATGTCAGTTTTATTAAGATTCTCTTACAGTACAGTTTTAAATAAAAATTACTTCCATGCATATTTCTCTCCATATATTACACTCTGAAAACATATTTTGGAGGGGTTCTGAACCTACAATGCATCAAAATCAACTCAGGTCATTATGGTGATACTCATTTGCAACGACTTTACTGAAATACCAAGAACTCCACCACCACCACCACGAAGTAACACTACTCATTACCTACAAATTTATAATACCATGAAAGCCTACTGTAGTGAAGGCTGCAATATAAATTTTCTTATATCTCAGTAGTACCAAATGGTGAGTCCCACAAAGGAAAGGGTAAGTTTCAATTCTATATTTAAGGAATCAAGAATTTTCAGAATTCTGAAATCTGGAAAGAATTAGAGGCACATAAACCCAATTAAATTTGACTTCATGTTTTTGAGTATCAGAATTTACAAAATTTGCAGGAGCTTTACACAAGGCCTGCATTAAGCAGCTTCAAAGATAATGGAAACCAGACACATCCAGAGAAGTTAAGATAATGTTACTAAAAATCTCATTGCAAAGTTGTTTCTTAAAAGTGGACAGTATTGACATTTATCTGAAATGGTTCAAGAAAAATCTAAGATTAAAGTTTTAATAATAATCTGGACATAGGATGAAGTCTTGGTATTTTAATATCAGGCATGGAAAAAGCAGTTGAGCACAGAATTTAAATGTATCATTGCTTTTGTTGTTCTTCTGAGAAAAAAATAAAATAGAGTATTTACTCCTTTATTAAAGAATGCCCTCTGTAGCCATGGAACTTAGAAGTTAGTACTCCCTCTCAGACATTGTAACAAGAAACATGATCTAAAAAGATCAATTTTTAACTTTGAATCTTACATATTCCTGAATTTTATTTTCTACATACAATGTTGCAACAGTGCACAGAATAAAAGGTAAAATAATGAAAAATTATAGCAATTGACTGTATAATAACTTATTTACCATAAAACTAATTCCAACCTTAAAACAGAATATTATAATAAAACATGGTTTTATCACTTCACTGGGATCCTTCAGTTTACAGGGTTTTACCTTTGCAGATTTTTCTTAGTGTTAGACACTGCAGTAAAACTCTGCAAAGTAGATTTACCATCTGCATTTTGCTTAACATAGTAAGCTTTTTTCAATGGGAACCTCATTAATTACTTTGTAGGACAGTGAAAGCATTCATTAGGCTTCATTAATAGAAATTGATGGAAGGTGTCAAAAAACATTAAGGGTATTGTGCTAACCATACTCACAGACTGGAGACTTGGCCTCCTGCCTGCCCACACCCTCCACCCCATTTCAGTTTTTCCTAAGCAGCTAACAATTCGACAGATACTCAGTGGAAGAATGCACCTTCAAAGATTCACGAGATTGAAAAAGAATAAATATCAGTTACAAATGATCAAGTATGAAGCTAACTAATTTTCTTCCCACCAGCATCCACATACAATTCATCAAGACACACCCCAGCTGCCTAATCACAATGCACTTACAATCAGAAGAATATTCTGTTTGTGACGTTTGTACAGCTGCTCCATCTGTTGACTGGGGTGTAGATGAGTTATTATCTGATTGCGCTTTGCGCACCAGTGCTGCAAGTGGATGATCAGGGTCTACTACCTTCAAAGGCTGAAAAAATTTTAAGAATAGAAAAAAAAAGATTAAAATTTGAAACACATACTTAAAGCATAATAGCAACAACCGAATTTGGAAAGCAAATTTATCTAAGTTAATAGACATCAATAATATTGTCCAAACACTGAAGTTACTGTTTTTGTAGCTCTCACATCAGAATCAACTTCTTTTTTGAAAATTAGTGGAAAACAAAACAAAAAATACTTGAATTTTATGTGAACAGAAATCCATGATGTGGAAAAAAAAAAAAAGAAAAGAAAAAAGCGGGTATTATTCTCACTCGTTTATTGCCAAGGTGGGATAAGACACAGAACCTGACTTGTGTAAATACCAGACAGCACCACTGCCATTCCTCTGAAAGCCTCAAATGTGTACAACCATCTGTCATTCCCATTATTCCATCACTGATCAAACTCAGCAAATGAAAATAAGTAACACACAGAGCAAAATTTACATTTAATTAGTACATTCTGCTGAAATAGTATTCGCTGAAACTATTACTTCACGTCAACATTTTATCTACTAAAATCTAAAAAGAAAACATTCTCTCTCAATTTATATACAGAAGGCATTAAATATCTTAATCTTTTCAGCTTCAATACAGGTTCCATGGGATAAACCCTTGCGTGATGCCCTCAATACCAGATGGCATAAAGAAAAGAAATATAATTCCTTACAAATCGAAAAATAACAATTTATGTACTAGAGAAAAGGTAACTTGAAAGTTTACCAAAACAGACTTAAATTACTAAAACACAGTCTGGGGTGGGGGGGGGAAATCTCTTAACAAAAGATCTTAATACCTGCATATTAGAATTTTTGTGCCTATGAATCAGATGTTTTACAAGATAGAAAGTAATTTTAATAGGGTCAAGTACCTTCATGAGCTCTTCAAGCCTACTGCATTTTTTAGATGCAAAGAGACTTGGATGCAGATAATTTCCATCATCATCATCGTCATCATCGTCTTCTTCCTCAGATTTGACTCTCGAGTCTAAATAAAAGCAATGTCTAAATTTTATTTGGGTTTGCTATGGATTTGTATTGGGAGAGAAAGACGGTACAGGACAAGCATGCGTTCTTCAGAAACTACCAGTTTCATAAATCCGCTCATTCACAAAAACATATATCCAAGAATATATTGCTAGCCATCCATAAAACAGTCCCAGTCTTCCCTAGCTGCCCATTCATTTCGTTTTGCAAGATCCTCTCCTCCCATCAGAACAACTATTTTTGCCACTGCACACCAAACTGAAGATGGGAACAAATCTAAGTGCACAGACCAACTTCCTGTTGGACTAGAGCTACACAAGTGTTTCTAAAAGCTCCAAGATTATAGCAGGTCTTGTATCTGAAAGTTTCCCAAAACAATCTTTTCTTTCAAAAATCTCCTCCAATTTAAGCAAAATTTTGAATCATCACATGAATCTCAGCTGCAGGATAACAGCACTGCCACTGCAACACATCAAAAAGATGTGCCTGTTTAACCAAAAAAGACCAGTGGATGTTTCAAGATTCACATCCTGAAGCCACCCATTTGACAAGCAACAACTTACGTTTTTTCTCGTCGGCTTTATTTTCAGAAGGAGCAGCATATCGTCCCTCTTTCATAGCCTTCTGAATGAATTTGTAGTAGGGATTGAGGTAGTGATCAAATCGCAAGAAGTCAAACTGGGAGTTGCGTGCTTGCTTGGCTTTTAGCATAATCTCAAACTGTGCTCCCTGCTTGCAGACAAAGTTTGCAGTTCGTTCTATAATCGCATGCATTTTTGCTGTTGGTGGCTGTGGGAGTAAAATAACATGTATTTGTATTTTCAGAAGCAGCTTGTAAAGTGTGTTAGAACTCCAGAGGGAATTAGAAAGAGCAGTAGTTCCCTGCCCCTCTTTTCAGCTTTTCCTAGCAACTCAGCTTCATAATCACTTTCAGCTAGTGAAAGCATATCAGCACTAAAAAAAACAGTCCCAGTCTTCCCTAGCTGCCCATTCATTTCATTTTGCAAGATCCTCTCCTCCCATCAGGACAACTATTTTTGCCACTGCACACCAAACTGAAGACGGGAACAAATCCTGGTTGACTTTGGTGTAGCAAAAAAATTATTTTAAGCCAGGCACATTACATACCCATATAGACACTTCTGCTGGCACAAGACAGGAGACAGATGTGTTTCTTGACACAGCAGTGCCAACTTACAGTGGTCCTACCCTACAATACCTCAAGGTGCTCTGAAGACTCAACTTATATGGTCCTCTTCCCAATGGTGGTCCTTTATTCTGTTACTACTGCATGTGCAATATCGTTCCTGAACTAGAAAAGCTTGTTATTATGCATTTCCTTGGAAGGAACATGTTGCATCTTAAGATCGACAAAAGAATTACAATTCTTATGTGCTGTCACATACCCATAAAGAGTCACTGAACACTTTACCAATAAAAGAAAAAAGTAAATTAATAAAGTTAAGCAGCATCCACACATTTCTACTCCTGAAATCCCATCTAAGGAGCACTGCTGTATCAAACCCAAGAATTGTAAAGAACAAGAATATAGTTCAAGAATGCATGAACTTCACCATTCACTGTCTTTGATTTCATACTCTGATAGCTCTGTTTTGTCTTGTGCTCAATAAACTGTAGAAACACATACTCTGTGTGCCTATAAAGACTGAAGTGTCACATTAATGATTCGTTTTAGCTTTGCATTTTTATTGATCTGGATACAGAAGTATGTTGCAAACCTCAGAAAATGTTCTTCAGAAGACTGGAAGCACATGAGACAGTGGTGCTCTATTTAGAGAAAAAAGCCTGAATGTGATCACACAGCACATTTTTAGGAATTATTTTCAGCTGATTGGATCCTTTACTACAACAGCATGTTCAATATAGAAAATAATTAGTTGTTTCAAGTTTTACTTGTCCCTCTAAAACACTACCAGAGATTATTTTAATTAGAGGCAATGAAGTTCTCAAGAAACTGCTAACATTTTGTGCATTGCCAGTTTCATTATTTAATCATACATGAAGTTTCTCTATTTCTGCAGTTCTTATGCAGAAATACAAAATACACTTAAGGCTGAGAGATTCATAAACACAGCTGCAAATCAGCAAGGAAGCTCAAAAAAGATTGTATCTGAAATTACTATGTGTTCTTGAATTTGAAACTGTTACCAATATAACCTCTGGAAAACAGGCACTATGAATATTAATATGCTTTTAATTGACTTCTAAGATTACTAACACCACTGATCTACAAAACTTTAGTAACTTTACAAAGTGAAAAACATTAAATGGCAAACAGAAATGCAGATATAGACATATTCTAGTTTGCTATTACATTTAATAAAAACACTAAACATTTAAACTGAGAACTGTTAAAACTTCTGAAAGAGAGTACTTGCCAGAGCAGAGAAAAAACCCTTCTGAAAAATACTACAATGAAATAAGTGCTATCGTCTAGTCAGATATTCTGTTCCAATTTTTAATTAGTATTGTAATTAAAAGTTTTTCATAAGTGAGTCTCCTTTACTGCAAGTTAAACAACTATCCACCAATCTTCAGTAAGCCTAGAATATAATTTTAATTCTTATGTTGCCTCTCAGTATTCTCATCTGGAGGAAACAAAGCAATTTTCAATCTCCCCTCCTAAGTTTAACTGGTAATTTATTCTTACAGCCCACTTCCATAGCATCCATGCACTTCTTAAAATGCAATGGTTACGAATGGTCCTCTTTGCCCATAACCCTATGATATCAACAGTTTTAAACAGTGGAAGACCTCCTGCATCCTCAATACAACTCTTCCATGTTAAGTTCCAGAATGACATCACTGCAGCAGTTGCAGTTGCCATATGCTGAACATTCAACAGCTCACTACAGCCTCTGGATCTTTTTGCAGTAGTGTTGCCTAACTACTTAGTCTTCATTTAACATTTGTACTTTGGATTGCTCTGTATTACAGGAACTATTTTATATCAGTCTTTATTGAACTATACCTTGCAGATTGTGAACAAAGTCTCCAAGTTAGCTCATTCTCAAATTTTATCTTATTTCCAAGCACTACAGTTTCCTCCTCAAAATGATCCAAAGTTTACAAATGTTCTCCCCCTGCCATGACCATCAATGACTGCCATGTCTTTTTCTCTAAATGTTAATTAGCAATAAACTGAGGAGAGACCTAGAACACCACTCAGTCATTTCCACAAATCAGCAACGTGGATCCAATCACTTGTGGATCAACATAATGGCAATGGAATTTAAGAGGTATTTCTCTCTCTCGCTCTCTTTTCTTTTTGAAAATGGGAACAAGGTAGAATGAGAAATATTTTTTAAACATGCCCGTAAAACCCTACCAATAATTTACTAGGCTTCTATCCTTCACATCAATTAAATTAAAAAATATAGAATAAATACATTTAATGGCAAAACTGAATGACTCGACTAGAACAACAACAAATGAAGGCTTACCAAAAAAAAATCCCTCACAATTCCCAATCCAAGGTCAAGTATACATTGTTTTCAGAGCTCTGTCTAGCACCAAACGTTTTGATTTAAAAAAAACAAAACCAAATATGCCCACGTTTGCTTTCTGTTTCTGAACTACAGTTCAATAGCTGATTGAGAAATTACTTCAGTAAGGCCCATGCTGCATTCTGCAACTTACGTGTAAAATACGTCTTAAGTTTCAGAACAAAATTCCAGCAAGGCAGCTATCTAAAACAGCAAACGTCCTTTTACCAGCAGTTATTTTTTGAAAACAGCGTTCAAATGCTAAATAAACAGCTCCTCGCTGAGAACTCAACTTATTCTAAGACTACAGGATAACTCATAATTTAAAGGCAATAATGTATAAAAAAATCTTCCCTGAAATCAGAAGTTGGTTTGTAGGCACTTCTCTAACGAAGCGTATTACAAGATTGTAAAGAAAAGTAGAGGAAATAATATTAGAACAAGCTGCACATTAGATTTGCTAAATAGCTCTTATTTCATATAAAAAAACAACAGAATAAAGAATTTTCAGTTAAAAGCTAATGAAGTAGAAGAACACTCTTACACAAATACCCTGTGGTCACTGTTAGTTATTCTAACAGAGTGCTTTGAATCTTTACTGGCCAAGGTTATCAAGTTGAGAAAGCAGCCCAAATATACATTATCACTTCCATGACCACGGTGTAGGAGAAAAACTATCATCTGACTTCCCAGTATCTTTTATGAAACTTGAAATAAATTGAAAATCCTCATGGTTACAACTGTACTCAAGCAGGTTCAGCTCCCTTCAGGAAAAATACACAAGCTGCAATTAATTTTGCAGTTTACTATGTAGCAAATTCTGGTAACATCACATGAAGCAAAGAGTTTCTACATGCTTATACTTTCAAGTTATTTCAGAATCTGCTAGAAATACTGCTTTTCTCCTTGAATAGGCTAGTCTTAAACACAGCCTTTGTATTTGATCACTTCCTAACCCCTTCAGATTGGGACACAATTAAAAAGAATCTGGAGAAAAATCCTGAACAGAAGAACGCTTTGTATTTGGAATGTCAACCTTGACTTCTCAGTAAGTAACCACTCCAAAAACAATTGGGTTTTTTCCACATTATTTAAAATAATATCACAAATGGCACTATATACAGTTAGCATAAGCACTGCAATAATTTTAGTATGAAAAAGAAGATTCAAGAGAGTTGACAGAACTCAAGAACTCAAGAAAGAACATCTGATATTAAGCTACTATTTTATAATAATTTAAAATGTACCACACTAAAGTTAATGGAAAAAAGAAATAATCAGTAAAGAACCATTAACTCCTTGAAAATTGACAGACATCTAGGTTGTGTTACATGTATACACATACCAGTTCCACATCAGAAGGTACATTCAGTCCCGGAGGGGCAACAAAAGGTTCTTCATTTTCTTCTACATTTTCTGTCTGAGCTGTTTCTACAAGAAATGACAGAATAAAATACTGTAGGACAAAACATGTCAAAGTACCCAAATGTTAACAAAAAATTATTAAATTATATCTAAAAGGATGTGCAATCAAGGTATTTATCAAATGAAACTATAACCACCATTTGCACTGAAGACATTTAAATACGGTTCCTCTCCCTGGTGTTCTGTGTAGTTTATACAATCTTAAATAAACTAAATCTTAATAGAGGTATTAGGAAGAATAAAACCCTATGAACCTTAGCCCTGATTACAGTGCTGGAGACAAAAAAAGTGTCAAATCAAATAGAAAACATCCATTTTCATTAATACTACTTTTTGTTTTCACAAGAAAACCCATACAAAATTAAGGAGAACCATTTTCCATGCACTGGGTGAATCCTTTCCTAACAATTATTACAATATTACAGATATCCAGTATCTCTAAAGCTGTTAAGACCCATACATCTGGTCTATGTGAACTCACTTCCCTGTTAATCAACCATTTCAGCCTATGCAAACAAGCCTAAGTACTTTCATCAGCTTCCTAACCCTAATGGAAGTTGTACAGGAATGCAACAGGGAGGCTAAAATCCACTTTCATCACCTACAGAGATAAACCAGTAGTTGCCTTAATAATCAATTAAAATAAATGCTGCCATTCATCTGTGAGTTCAGTCTCAAGTTGGTGCAGTTCCTTTTACATCAAGTTTAACATATCCAAATATTTAACAGATTTATCACATGAACTACTCATCTAAAGTAGTTATTCTTTTAAAAAGGCCAATTTGTATTACATTCTGTTACTTGGTACACCAGAAATGTTCCTCTGAAAATCTCTTGCTTTATAAATTTTTATAATAATTGAAGTGGAAAGTTTACTTTTTAAAGTAACATTTAGTGTTATCTATTCTGCTATCTCTAAGAGAAAATGTAGTCCAGTTCTACCCTAACAAATTAGATAGCACAAGCTGCATGGAAACCTGACTATGGGAACTATGGACACAAGACAGCACAACACCCTAATCATGCATGAGATGTTGTAGCCATTACTATATACAAGCTCTTATCCATGCAAGAAAGTTAATTTTTTTGTTGCTATCTGGTAGGTTGTTTTTTTTAAAAAATGAACTCAAATAGTTTAACTCCACAAAGGCACACAGAAATTTTAGCATCAAAGAAAGGAGGAAGCAGCAGCAGAAGCAGCAGAATAGGACTGTTTCTTTTGGCTGCAGCTCCAGCTAACACTTGAATTGTTCACAGTACTACAGCCTGTAATTCACATTACTGTTATCTGCATCTTCCAATACTGGATTTTACTCTACTATGATTTATCAGAAATGAATGTTACGAATTTATAGTCCTGCATTATTGGAAATTGTTAAGATATAGCAATCTATTAAAAGATTGTACAGCTCAACTACAGTAAAACATAATACCGATGTTTCCCTCTCACTTTTGCCCCAAGTACTTTTCCCTCAAATGCTATCAAAGTGTTACTAGAAAATGCCCCTGTGCTATCCACCATTACTGAAAATTTTCTAGAAGATAAGTTTGGTAAGAAAGCTCACAACTGAGACAATGTTCCAATGACTGCTATGAGGATCTCTACTTCTCAGCAGCAGCACTGAGAATTCTCACATCACACCGCAAGAGTTTGTAATAGCTTAGCATGACACTTCCATGCTGCATCAAATATTAAATAACTAAATATTAACTTGTTGGAAGATTGGGTAGTTACATCTCTCTTTGCCAATGACTAGGTCGTCACATTTTAGCATTAGTTCTAAAAATATGACTGCATTAAGACTGAAACACATTATTCTAGATATCTCATCATTCTAGGAAAGAAAAATAATGTGAAGCAACCCAGACACAACTCAAACTCATGACAGCTCTTTTACCAAATGAAACTGAAATTTTTATTTATTCCTTATACACTTGATCAAAGGTAGATTCCGTAACATTATAGCACATTTTCACACAGTTTTGCAAAGGTGTCCTACAATACAGACACCCTATAAGGTTCAGCA